GCAATATCAATATCCAATATATTTGCATGAAATTCCCTCAAAATTTCTTCGACATAATTTATTGTTGCTTACGTTTTAAAATCTTTTTAAAATGAGATATGGCATTTTTATTCCAAACGTAAGGTACAGGTAACTTTTCATCGTTCCCAATTTTGCACAAATTTCGCCCATAAGAAAACTATCTTCATCTTTTCTTTCTTCTTCATCCTTTGGAAGCCCTTTCTCCACTATCTTTTGTTGTTGCTGTTTTTGGAGTTTCTCAGATCTTTATTCCTAAACTCATTTCGCAGTCCCCCAGTAACTCCAGTCTTTTCTTGATAATGTACAAATCCATAGTTTGGCTTAAGACACACTATCATTAACAGGTAAAATCGATACAGAATCGAACACTATAGAATCAAACAAGTATTGTCCCAATACACTAACCAGCTATAATATGAAAACCTTGAACTGACTATATTTCTAAGTAATACTGGAGTTATACGTCGAAGTTGTTACATTTAAACATAAAGGGCCTTTCCCACTGGGGTTTATCTAAGCTAACGGAGTCAGTTGCATGTGTCGACTAGCTTCGCTATGCCTGCAGTTCAGATTTTTCAGCTTGCTGTCCTATTTGAAAAAATATTTTGGAGATGGGTCGGTTTCGTCATTTGTCTCCGTTAGCTCAGATAAACCCCAGTGGCAATGGCCCTTATGAGGATAATAACATAAAATTACATACAAAGTTACATAAATAACATAAACTGTTTAGTATACTCATTAAAATATTGAATTACGTAAATATAGTAAAGTTGATATTTTGGAGATCGTTGCACTGGAAATTTTGCATTTTTATGCAAACAGATAAATATATGGGATTTGATTTTGGTAATATATTGAGAGTCTGATCCTTGTTATGTGAGAATATTTGTTACAGGTAAGGCTGTACTGAGCTCAGATCTTTTAGTCCAAAGTTCATAAATAAAGTTCATGGTCTCAGCTCTGTAGGTTCGATGTTTTGGAGCAATATGGAAATGGTTAATGTTGCTCGGAGACAGTTATTGGGGTGTAGCCTAGACATTGCTCTTTCCGCTTTCATTTTCGGTCCTTGTGCCTTGAAGAAACATTCCTCAGTAACAAAGCCCTCAAAATATCTGCCTGCAATTCAATTCCAACTTTCTCCATGTCGAATTCGTGGCCATGTAAATCACTTGCTGCTAGGATTTGTTAATGATTGTTAAACAAAAGGGGTAAATAGTAACAGGACGTTTTTAGAAATTCCTGAGTGTTAATTCTGGCTTGCGTGTGGCACAGGTCGATGTGTACATGGATACCGAGTTTGTGCAATTCTTTGACTTGTTACTTTGGCTTTGCGTAGCGTCGTTCTTTGGCGGCTAACGTGTCACGCAGCTGCACCACTGGTCCGGGGTTCCATCCCCGGGCTGGGAAAGGTTGACTCAGCCTTTCATCCCTTGAATGGGTCGATAAAATGAGTATTAAGTTCGCTTGGGAACTAAACACCGGAGGTCCTGTGACATGCTGACCACTTGCCCAGGGCGTATGGTGATGCACTCCGGGACCCAAGGTCAAGAAAGCAGATTTCGGGGCATTGCAGGCCGTGGCCCACTATGACTGTTGCGCCACTTAGTTTAGTTTAGAGTGTTAATTCTGTTCCAGAGATTAACAAGAAACACCTTTGAAAATTATTTGTTCTCGATTTTAGTGTTCGAAACTTCAGACACCATTCGTCATTCAAAGCGTGTTCATGTAGTAGTTGTTTTTATCATAGTAACTGATTTGCTTGCGGATTTTGGGTACATGGGCTTTGACTGATGAAGCAATAAAAGTGAAGAACTTCAAGAAAACTGGAATATCTAATGCTTCTGAAAAGGTCATCAGGCAAAATTATGCTCTTTCGATGTCAAATATTTCTATTACCGGCACTGGAGGCAGTGACGTATTTTATCTAGTATTTTTCTCAGTGACGACACTTTACCCAAAGAAGGTAGAAGAACCCTTACTTTGGAGTGGGACGTCAACGTCATCCCGCTGATTGACCTTGCCCGGAAAGACTAACAGACGACATAGATAGCAATTCCAGCGGCATTAAATGATTTTTGACATAGGGAGTTGCAGAGGACAATAATAAAACAGGGCGAGAATTAGGACACAGAGAATTAGAAAAAATAAATATGCTTAATTTGATACTGTCATGTTAATATTACTGTATTCTTTTGGAATGTTGATTTCTTTTAAATAAACAATATTTTTCCCCAATGGCGGGCACAAGCCATCATATAGACATTGGCCACTACTCATGTCAGATGCGGTGGTCACTTTATTATGGAGGCACCTAACAGGCGGGCCACCTTTTCTTCTTATGAAGGGACGGACAATTACAACCATGCCTTCTCTGGGATTCAAACCAGGACCCTTTGATACCGAAGTCGACTCCCTTAACCACTATACGATCTGAGCGGCAAATATATAATTTGTGATAGTTATCAGTAGTTTATCAACGAATACTTTTCATTTGTTATGTTAAGTGTAACCGCATCCTTCAGATATTAAATTACTCGCATAATTTTCTCCTCTCAATTTTCGGACCGTAAAATTCATGGTTTGGTTTCGTTTATATGATTACGGCAATGCTCGAGGTCTATCCGCTTAAGGGGAGCAATGCCTTCGTGGAGAACATTCTAAGAGAAGCTGGCTCGTATACACGTTACACATGGGGAAAACCATGAAAATGCGCATGCAGCCAGTCCGTTCGCGGTATTCGAGTGTTTAACATCTTTACCGCTCGGCCGCTGATGGGCAGATAAAATTAGAAAAAAACGAGAGTAAAATACTCAAATAAATACGGTAATTGAGTTTTACATACAATATCATTTTTCTACAGGGGGGAAAGTCCTTATTAGACTGCATGATAATGAAACTTTCTGCTTTTGTTTTCAAGGAAAATCATCCACCGGATCTGGGTTAAAGGGATTCTCTTAAATCCCTGATAGTACAATCAACAAAATTTAACAATATTTTTTTATCGATTGTGTAACCCAAACAGCGAGATAATATATGTAATAAAAATGTATATTCATTATGTAATAAAAAAAAGTACATTAGTCTAACAGTACACTAAAACACAAAAAACAATACACAAAAAACAGTACGTTAGGCCTACGTCAAGAAACTGTATCACGCAACGCAAGTGAAATGAATGAATGAGTTCTGAAAAGTACTGAGGATTCTGAATCCCTCAGTCTCAAAATTAAGATTAAAATTTTTCTTGCAAAAATTTACAATCGGAATTTCCATTTTTCATTTTATTTTTAAACAAATTTCCAACAAACATAAAATACTTTTCAACAGGTATTTTACAATCATTTTCATGTTACTTTTTTTAATTCATTCTAAGAGTTTGCAGTAGCAAGTAATAATGTAGCAGTAAAAGCAGGATTCTTAGCTCAACATTCGAGACATTTGTATTAAAAGTACTTTTCCTATTTGAATTAAATTACTTTTTCGTACTTGAATAAAAATTAGCATTAAAAATTTACCGAGTAGTCATACAATTTTTAAAGCCGGCCATTTGAGAAAAGTTTATCTGAGATTATTTTGCTTATAATCGAGGCATACAATGCAAAGAAAGTTTGAGAAAGCCGAATTCGAGTATGGCGTCACGAAGTATGGTTATATGAAAGTATGGTAGTAGCAGTCCTACATACAAAATTTTAACGTTCTGAGGCTATCCGTTTCTGACTTATGCGAGATACGTTCTTACGTATCTCGCATAACTCGTACGTAACTCTGTGCGACGCCAAGAAAAATTATCCGTCAAAATGGATATTTTCCTTGAAATATGATACCCGAAATTTTTCGAGATTACAATACTTCCTTTTTACTTCGTACAAGGAAATAATAAGGTTCTACCCGTTGCCGAATGGTTAAGGTCTCTTAGTAATGAAAGCTCAATCTCAGATGAATGAGATAGCTACTTGATTTCGTTGTTTTCCAAATCTGTAACTTGAATATTCCCCAGGCTTCACAGTAACTAGAACCACCGAGTCTCCAATAGTAGGTTCAGGTTTGGCAGGGACCGTACTGATACGGTCTTGTCTGCAGTACTGTCTGTCTTGTACTGATATAATGGTTATCTGCGGTACTGTCTGTCTTGTCTGATACGGTCTTGTCTGCGGTACTGTCTGTCTTGTACTGGTATACTGGTTATATGCGGTATTGCCTGTCTTGTCTGTGTTGTACTGGTATTGTCTTTTCTTGTTCTGGGGACGCTATATGGTTAGATATCGAAGATTATCCTTGGAGCGATTGGCTCCCCTTAATTAAAACTCGGAGACAGTCTTTAACCTGACTTTGTTCTTTCTATAAATGACCGGCTAAGACCGGTCACCACTGACTTGTGTTTTAAAACTTTGACTGTGTGAATTATTGTCCCCCTGGGTTGACCGGGGGACTGTGTCCCCTTAGATCATCTCTAGGGAAGGAGGCTCAATAACCGCGTTAAAGAGTTGAAAAAGAGCCCAGGTATGAGAGTTTCCCCTCTCTGGGTGTACTGTACTTCAATAAGAGTTCGCGTGGTTGAGTAACAAATACTCGGAGAAGTTTCCTTATCATACATTTGTAGATATACACGCCTATTGTTATTCTGCATTGAAACTAAAACTTTCACGGCTTATATCTAATTCTCTCTTCCTGTAAGTATAAATATTAAAATTTCATTTATAATAGATGCTTATGTTTAAGTAGCAAAGTTAATTAATTCATAATTCATTTGAGTTCCATGACAGAGTTCAGAGCTGTAGTTAAAACGAATATGAAGTTCTATTTCGGAACTTGCATTGCGTGAGTATAGTTCCAGACACGCACTTGACGGTTATTTACTGAAATGATCTCCATGAAGTAAGATCAACATAGGATTCGTTAATACGATTTCATGTTGACCAATGAAAATGTAGGTTGATACGTTACTATGTGATTGGATTATTGGTACTGATCAAATATATAAACGGCGTAGTATTTGAACTTTCTCTATAAAGGCCGGGAAATGAAAAATGCATCTTCACAATTTTAGACTGGCAATTCTGTTTATTTACATTTACGCACCTCTTTTTATTGAAGGTTAGTATTGCAGTTATTTCTATCCTTCGGTTATTTATTATAGGCTTTTGTAATAATACATGATCATCGTGTGGTGTTTAAGGAGTTTAAAATTTTTAACTTAACTTTTAATTTTTGTATGTGTTGGTTTAAGACATACTTATAGAAGTGAAAATTCTTAATAGAAATTTCAGCTGTACAGATGCCTAAAATTTCTAAGCGTTTTAGAATTTTTCTTGTGTACTGCCTAAACTCCTCGCCACAATATTCTTGCATGTAATTTTTGTAAATGTCGAAGTTTCTGAACAGTGCATAAGAAGTAACTGAAATAACTTTATTTACGTATAAAGATAAATTAATTCCCAAGTTGTATTTAATAAGGAAATATGTGTACCAAATAGGAAATTTAAGCTGCAGTATATTTTTGCTCCTTGCAAAAAAAAAAAAAAAAAAAAAAAAAAAAAAGAAGAAGAAGAAGGAGAACTTGAGTTAATCTTTCTCGAAACGCACTGAGATTTTCTAATAAAGTCCAAATCAATATTAGGTTGATTTTTACTTCTTGTAGAAGCTATAGAGTGCTTAGTATTAGTTTGAAATAAGGCTTTAGACGATAGCAGATGCTGGAAATCAGTTGCTTTGATCGAAGTCCTTCTTTTCCTTTCATTTAAAGATATTTTTAGGGGAAAAAAGGAGAATAATTTCATTTCTGCTTTTCAGATAAATAATTTTTCAGCCAGATCCCAAACGTCGGAAACTAATTAATTTGAAAAAATTCTGATTAATTTAAAGCAGTATTCTTTTCAATGCACACAACATAAATTCTCTAAATCTAGCTAAAAGAAGATATACTTATCTATATTTCCGATATTGTTTTACCATTTCAAACAAATATACGTATAGTCTTTAGCAATTAAAAGTAGAATGAGTGATTGGCTTAAATAAGAACAAAATACCTACGGCATTTAAGAAAATATATTTATTATAATGTATCTAAATTATTTAAAACTTATCTGTTTAGTCATATTTCGATCCTTGATTGTAGTTCATCCTTGATTTAGATCCTTGATGGTAGCTGATTTGATCGTTGATTGCATCTGTTGTGTCGTGAATTGTTATACAAGGCTAAAATTCGTACACTTCATTTTCAATAACAGTGTCATTTTTAAATACATTTTGCATAAAATTATTTCAAAATTCTCTTTCATTTGTGAAACAGTTAATTAAAAAGATAGGTAAATTTTTATTTTAATTACATAACTTTTAAATTACTGAATAAATTCCCGAAGTTAAGCTGAAAAAGGAATTACGGGAAAATGAATAACACCATTGTTTAAACTCGTACATATTTGCAAATAAAACAAAAAAGCAACCAATAAAAAGTATTCCATAAATAACTGTAATTTCCATGTTTCGAGTTTGTCTGTTGAAGTACTGTTAACCCGAGTGGTCTGCCGCTCATAAGTTTCATTTTACGTTGTCAAGCGTTAAAATATTTATAATTTTGATATCTTTGACATTTCCATTTTGGATGGATTAGCAACATTCCCTTTCTTTCAAAACAACGCAAAATTTATAAAAGTAATAAACCATTAATGAACACTAGTAAAAATACTAATTTAAAATTTAAATGATATTAAATGATTTAATTAATTAAATCATTTAATAATCCATCAATGTGTATATTTACTTAAAGTTTATTTCCTCAACAGTTATTTTATTTCATAGTTCACTATTTTTGTATACAATCCTGATGTTACCCTCTCCGTCATAAACTACTAGCTGTTACCCGGCATGCATTGCAATGCTGTTTAAAGGAAAAGAAATGTTGGTGTTTTAATTCTGTTATGGATTTTTTTCTTTATGCGTATTTTGCATGTTTCTATTGGATTGTGTCACCTGATACCAAGGCTGATAATGGTTCGGGTGGTGAATTTAATTCTGGCAATTTCACTTTTCCACCCGCACATACAATCCTTCATTCTTTAATTTGAAGGTTCTGCAATACATGCATAATTTAACGCGAAAGTAACGCTCTGTGACTACTATTACAAATTCAGTTTCAAAAAACAAAGAAAATGCGCGTGATACAATAAACACGCACGTTAAACATGTGAAATATTAAATAGTTTACTCTTTGCTGAACGATAACATACTTTAAAATATTTTAATTTGGGCAGTGGCAGCATATTTCTCTTAAATAGCCGAGTTTGTTTATTAGATTCGAGAGAAATTAATACAGTTGTGTTTTCCCGAGTGGCAACAGAATTTTTGGTGTTGTTCCGACTGGCGATCTACCGAATTTCGTTAGATAGTTAATCATGTTTTATATTAGATGGCGCCTCCTCTTCTTCAGACTATTTTTTTTTTAATTTTTTATTTATTTATTTATTTATTTATTTATTTTTGCCTAAAATGTTTATGCTTGTCGTTTCTTTCACATGCAATTTTTCCGTTGAATTTCCGAAAAAATTTAAAATGCTGTCTTCGAATCTTTGTTATCAATTTACTCTCAAATAGAAGAAAAAAAAAATTCACGCTTACATTACAGAGAGCTGAAATAAGAAGCAAATGAAATAACTATTATCTTAATTAAGGGGCAACAGTGTTTAATTTATCTCTCTTAAATTCATTAATCTCTCTTTAAATACTCTGCTTACAACCAATAATTTGTAAATAGGTTCTGAAACAACTAAATATAGCAATACAAAATCGGGTTTATATTTTATCTTACCTCTTATTTGTTTCATTCATTATATGCGCGAAATTCTTGATATAATCTATATAAATGACATTTAGGAGCTCACTTTTAGTTATATTAATATCGAGTAATTCATTGAAATATTTTAACAAGCTAATCTAATTTTTGAAAAATACGTTATTTCACCTTTTTATTTGTACACTGAAAGTTTTCTTATACGCAGCCTAAAACACAACAAAAGAGATAAATATTTTACAAAACGTAAAAAGTTATTAATATTAAATAATAAGAAATCTGATCTTGAAAATTTGATTAAAATGGTGAAATAAAAAAATGTGTAAAAACAACACCTATCAATCTCTAAGTTAACTACACAGTTCAGTAAGGTATATCGCCTATTGGGAGAATACCCGAATTTCTTAAATCGCCGAGTTTTCTGAATAAATCTGAAGCATATATATCATATGCTTTGCAGAGTAGCAAAAGCAATGCTTTTAAATCGCTGAGTTTTTAATCAAAAATTCGTCAAATTAGCATAAAATATATGTATATAAAAAGTGCGGACCCAACTTTATGGTTTTTAAGAACTCTTGTGTAGACAGTGACCTTCCTCTTTTGAAGGTCGAGTGTGATAAGCTTCATAAAGATCGGAATTAAACTATAGATTTGTATAAAAGACAAACGAACATTCATTTATAGGTGTATATCTTCTAACAAATAAAAAGAAAATGAATAAAATTTCACTTAAAAGAAATTGGAGATGGCCTGGAATTTAAAATCACTGTTTAAAAATATCTTCTTCTTATACAGTTATACCGAGTTTTTCGATTTAATTCCCTTTCAAGTACATCTTAAAATATTTTCTAAAAAGTATTCTCAAGCCTACAGTTCTCGATATACTATAAATGTATATATGTCCTATCCTTATTCTTAAACATTCTAATTCATTTGAAAGACCAGAATAATGAAACTGGAGAGTTTTAATAATGAACATTTAATTTCTTTTCCATAATAATGGATAATAAGCAATGCGAGAAAAGCCTTTATGATTAAGCGATGCGATTTCAAGCTGAGAAATCACATGAGATACAGAGTAACTTTAAGGCTTATTGGATTAGACAGACAGGATTTAATTAGCAACTCTTCTACTGTCGTTAATTAGGACAGCAGAATTGCGTATGTGACTAAAACATTGTTTACAATGCATAAATAGTAATCGACAGGTAACGGGAGCATACTCAGATCAAAATGTTATTACTGTAACAGAAAAAGAAGTTTAGTTAAACGAATTTATGCAAGATATTCGAGGAAAATGGTGACCTCGAGTTTTATTTCCTGCAACATTCTAACGTTATAAAATTTTCCAAAGGTTTATGTAATAACAGAAAAGCACTTGAAGGCTATCTGCCTCAAAGGAGAAATATTCTCGTGGAAGACTTTCTAAGGGAAACTCAGAAACATATATACCTTTACAAAAATTCTTAGAAACAACATATATGTTACATATGAGGAAAACCATCAAAGCGCCCATGCAGCCTACCCGTTTCCTAGGATTCAAACCCGGACCGAACTACCAGCGTTCAGCGACTTTGACACTCGGCCGCTGGTGGGCCTTCAAGGTAAGGTAAATAGTTTCATGAAAACAGATTAACATCGTGAGTAGAAGTATTATCGAAACATATATTTCCCAGAAAATATTCCAGTTAGCAAAATATTCGCTTCCTTTACTTACATTCCATACTTTTCAGTGTAAATTTCGCATATATAATGCTTTGCCAGCCAGTTGCAAATTTAATAATGTGTTAGATACTTCTAATATGTCTTTTACACTGACAGCGTTGTCAGAATCTAGGTATTTGCAATTTGGCTATAAGTCTTCACTATTTTTATCCAATGCTGAAGTTGTTTTTTGCATTCCCTCGAAAATCGCAAGGAGTGTCTACTTAACGAAGCAGAGAGCAGAATGTTGCTTCATAGCGGCTTCTTTAAACGTAATGATATGAGAAAAAAAAAAACATAAAATAGGTCAGCTCAGGTTATTTGAATATGGGATTTGGAATTTGTTATCGATGTCATATTTGGTAACACTTTAACGAATTTTTGATTAACAAACTCAATCGAGCAATGATAACTCTGTACGAAAAAAAAAAAAAAATTCTTACCTGCAACGCGCGAGACTGTCTATCCGAAATTCTAAAGATATACTCATTTTAAAATTATTTTGCGATATTGCTCTTGAATTAAATTTTATGGTTTAAGTGCGAAGAACATGATATTTAATAAATAAAGGTAATAAAGAAACAAAACAAACGTATTTTTTTCC